AAGGAAGAAAGGAAGGAAGGAAGGAAGGAAGGAAGGAAGGAAGGAAGGAAGGAAGGAAGGAAGGAAGGAAAAGAAAAAAGAGCACTTGTCACTGCAGCTTTCAAGTTTATATAAATAAGTAATATAATTTAAATCTAGATTTATTTATCCTTCCTGTCCTCTCTCCTTGCCTGCTACAAATAGAAGGAAATAATATTAAGGAGTTGTAAGAATTTTTCATCAAATCAGCCCACCTTTAAGAACTGCAACGGAATCATTTGTCTTTAAGGAAAAACGGAATGAACAAATTCCATTCACCAAGTCAGAGGGCATGAATCAGATTTCATTTTCTCAAGTACATTCAGCGAGTCTCCAAAAACATAACCACTTCCAATGCCTTGTCTCTACCTGGGATCTCCTGCAATTAAAGCTAAATTTCTCGGGGGAGAACAATGGAAGGGGTGACATTGATTCTCATAAATTTTTCTCATACATTGTTCTCATAAATTGATATGTTCAATTGAAACCCTTTGTAACCTACTTAGAGATAATAAAAAATAAGTAGAAAAGTAGAAAACACTGAATTTCAAAAAATGTTGGAATCGTGGTGTCACAATGTTTGTGGCAGGCTTTCTGGGAACTTCCAGCTTTTGAGGTTAGAATTGTGCCTTTCAGGGCATCACCACCAACAAATTTTATGTCTGCCTGAATTGCCATGAAAAACTACTTGTTTTATCATCTCAGTAAGAACTAAAGAATGGAATTATGCTCCTAATTTAACTAATCACTTCTGATATTTCTCAAGCTTATAGAAACCAAAAGCGCTTAGAAGATAGCTGTTCTTTGATTTCCTTAATGAAATGCACACATGTTATTTTTTTATAATGCAAGCATATGCTTGCACATGTATGATCTTTATGAGTTTATTTAGCAAGAAACCAAATATGTGAGGGGAACCCGACTTTCCAAGCGGTGCTTTAATTGTCACTCATGCGTGTTCCACGGATCATTACTGAATGTTTACAGGTCCTGCATGGAATGACTTTACACCAGAGAAGAGGGTAACATATCTTCATTGTTTATAAAAATGACAGCTCCTAATGGACCATATTAGCTTTAACACAAACGATTAAATCCCTTTCATTATATCTCTCTGTGTTCTGTCCCGGCCTCTCTGAGCCCTGGGAAGTAGGTGTAAACTGCTAAAGGAACCCAAGCACACACTGAGACGATTAAAGATCATGCTTATTAGATAAGGCTCAGGAGGATGTTTTTCTTGGGCTGGTCACAAACATTTTGAAAGAGTCATATTCCAGGTTTGAGCTCCAATGTTTCTTCCTCTTAAACTATGAGCAGCTGTAGCACATGACCTACTTCTGTAGGGCTCTGTAATGATTTCCTTCCTTCGGACGCTTCAGGAGTCCTCCTCCTGCCCTGTGGAAGAAAAAAAAGGGGGGGGAGGGGGACAAATATTTTAATCCAAGCAAAATGCTGAAGCAGGTTTTGTTGGTTTCAGGGAAGAAACTCAATACAGCTCCAGCACTGAGTGTAGGCCTCAAATTGGAACCATCTGGGCTACAAAAGGGCTCAGGACAGAGACAGCCCTGCCTAGGGCTGCAGTCCATACACCTGCAGACAATGCTGGCCTGCAGGCAGTGGCGGGATGTACCCACGATGGGTCAGGGAAGGCCTTGCTGGGGATAGTGTACAAAGAAGGGCAGCAGCACCTGGTTCAGTTAAGTGCCTCCCACCCGAGGAAGGCCTCCTTAGACTAGAACCTAGTTGACACAAATCAGACAGAAACACATTTCCTAACAATTAGCAAATAGCAAAGAAAGTCGTCAACCAAGCTACAGATTAGGGTGGCTAGTATTTTTAAAGTTATTCTGGAAGCTAGGAAGAGAAACAGTTTAAAGGCAGCCTAGTCTCTATTTGCAGGATAATGTAAAGATTTTTTTGTTTATAGAGTTATTATTCTTGCTGCTTACTTGTACTTCCTAAGGAAAAGTGCTTTCACATTGCCAGTGTGCTCTGATATCTAAACACAGATAACAAGGCCAATTCCTAGAAAAGTATTTTATGTAAACTACTTTAAAAATTTTGTATTGGCACAAAGGAATTCTATGCCTCCATCAGAAAGTATGATATTGCCCCATTTGTTAGGAAATGGAAAGTCTTGGGGAAAAAAATCGTATTAAGTGAAGTAAGCCAGGCCCAAAGAAACATAGGTCCCATAGTTTCCCTTATTTGCAATAACTAGTATATGTCTGAGACCAGCAGAAATGGTCAGATAAGTTGATGTTAGGCAAAATGAACCCCAAGATAAGGACTCAAATGGTTTTCCTTTCTTACTATTATTTCTAATATATTTATAAGATGATTTCTTTGTTGCTTTGTATGTCCCTCCCCTATGGTATAACCCCTGTTTTCACTGTATTTGATGTTGGTATAATTTGGGGGAGGGGAAGGGAAAAAACCAATTGTTTAAATAGGGATACAGGTGGACCCATTGCAACAATGAGATGTACAGACGTTATGTCAAAAAAGGAACTTTACAACTTTGGTGGAGGAGGGAGAGATGAGAGGGAAGGGATTGTAAGGGGAAACAAAGGAGGAGGCAACAATGCTTGATAAGAAATGTACTTATTGCCTTGTTCGTGTAATTGTAATCCCTCTGCATGGTACTTTCACAATAAAAAACTTATTAATAATAAAATTTGTATTGGAAATTCTTTACAGTGATAAATTATTATAGGCTGTTGACAAATAAATGGGATTGATATGCAATTTTATATAATTGTAAGTAGTACAACTTTAGGTAGTTGCACAAAGGGCTTTCAATTCAATATGTCAATTTGTGACAATGTTTTTCTTTTTTTTTGATCACCGGGACTAGGATTTAAATTTTTTTCTTATTTTTAAATAGTTGGCAAAGGAGGTATCATTTAACAAAGCAATTTATTAATACAATGCCTTGGTCATGGACGAGAAGGATTATTTGAATTTAAGGTTTGGGCACTGTTCCACAGCTTTTTTTGCCAGATTGGTGCTCTGCCAATTGAGTCATAGCTCCACTTCCAACTTCTTGGTGGCTAATTGGAGATAAGAGTTTCACAGACTTTACTGCCTGGGTTAGTTTTGTACCTAGATTCTTGGATCTCAACCTCCTGAATAGCTAAGATGCCAGTGTGAGTCACTGGCTAAAAATCTGGGGCTTGAACTCAGGGTCTAGACACCGTCCTTAAAGTTTTTTGCTCAAAGCTAACACTACCACTTGAGCCACAGCTCTACTTCCAGTTTTTCGGAAGTTAATTGGAGATACGAGTCTCCATCCTTTCTACCTATCTTAGAACCACAATCCTGAGACTGTGAGCCACCTGAATAGTGAGGATTCCAGGAGTGAACCACCAACACCTGGTTCACTTACTTTAAAACCAGCTCAGAATATACTTTCTGGAAAGAAAAATGGGATAGATGGAAACTGTGCCCAAGCTGCCTATTTAATAAGTATGTTTTCCAAATAGTGGTTGACGAGGAATCTATTGTTTTTCATCTGGATTTTAAATTATCTACTGTGGGGAAGAACGTAATGATTCCAATGTGGCCATAAGAGAATAATATGAACAAATCCAAACAACATCTAAGTGTGGCACCCCACACCATAAACTTGGGACTGGGCAATTGATCAAACAAATATCCATCTCTGAAAGAGGTGGTAGTTCAGGCGAACGATAGAAGAGATGGATGGTAGATATTTTCAGTTCAGTTAAATTTCAAGAAGTGTAAATTTACCTGATTTCTTGCAATGCTTGGTGTGTGTGTGTGTGTGTGTGTGTGTGTGTGTGTGTGTGTGTGTTGCTAGGGATTGAACCCAGGGCCTCCTACGATGCTATTCTACAGTGTTAGACATGCTCTATCATAGAGATATATCCCTTGCTTTTAATTGACCTTTAAAACAACACCTGTAGACTTCACTTGTTTGCTCATTCTAAGTCCATTTATTGGTTTACTATGTGTAACAAAACTTAGCATTGGAAATTATAGTCAAGACTTAGACAACACATATGATATAAGCTTTTAAATATATTTTTAAAATAAAGAATTGTCAAGAACACATTTTTAAAATTTCAAATGGGAAAGTAAGCATTGGAAAATAATATTTGGGTAGCATATATCTCTTACAGAGGGGGTTTCAAGTGTGATATTTCCAATAAAATTTTGATCATATTCACTCCCTCTATTACTCTTTATTATATCCTTCCTCCATTTTTATAGTTTTAATGCATTTCATTGTACTACTTTTTATGTAATATTACTTTTATATATAATGCACTCTGATGCTTTTTACCCCTCATCACCTTCTCCTTCTGCTTCTACTGGTTTCTTGAAACAGTTTATCTTTTACATTCATATCATGTATATGTGTAATGCATATGTACATATATCACCTATATATATAAATACATTATATATATACATACTTTTTCATTTTATTTTATTTTATTTTATTGTGAATATACTGTACAGAGGGGTTACAATTACATGGGCAGGATAATGCATACATTTCTTATCAAGCATTACAGCCTCCTCCTTTGTTTACCCTTCACATTCCTTCCCAGCCTCCCTCCCCCACCCAATCCTCCCCCCCACCACACCAACGTTGTAAAGCTCATTTTCAACATGACAACTTGTACTTCTCATTGTTGCAACAGGTCCAACTGTATCCTTAAATGACTTGTTTTTCCCCATCTCCTCCACAAGTTATACTGACATCAAATATAGTGAAAGCAGGGGTTATACTGTGGGGGAAGGACATACAAAGCAACAAAGAAATAGTCTTAAAAATGTGTTAGAAACAAATGCATGAAAGAAAAAAACATAAAATACATATCTAAGGGTTCATTTTCCTAACATCACATTATCTGACCTTTTCCGCTTAACTCATACGTATACTAGATATTGCAAATAAGGGAAACCATGGGGCCTATGTTTCTTTGGGCCTGGCTTACTTCACTTAATATAATTTTTTTCCAAGTTTTTCCATTTCCTAACAAATGGGGCAATGTCATTCTTTCTGATGGAGGCATAGAATTCCATTGTGTATATATACCACATTTTCTTGATCCATTCATCTACTGAGGGGCATCTGGGTTGGTTCCATATCTTAGCTATGGTAAATAATGCTTCAATAAACATAGTTGTGCTGGTAGCTTTAGTGTGGTCTTGTTTGTAAACATGCATCACCTATAAATACATTATATATATATATATATATATACACACACACACACACACACACACACACACACTTTTAAAAAAGTTTTTCAAGCCAGGTGCGAGAGGTTCACACCTGTAATCCTAGCTACTCAGGAGGCTGAGATCTGAGGATCATGGTTCCAAGCCAACCCAGGCAGGAAAGTCCGTGAAACTCTTATCTCCAATAAACCACCAGAAAACCATAAGTGGCGCTGTAGCTCAAGTGGTAGAGCTCTCACCTTGAGCTGAAGATCTGAGGGACAGTGCCCAGGCCCAGAGTTCAAGTTCCATGACCAACAAAAAAAAGTTTTTCAGCTGGGCACTTGTGGCTTATGCCTATAATCCTAGCTACTCAGGATACTGGGATCTCAAGATCATGGTTTGAAGCCAATCCTAAGCAAGAAAGTCCATGAGACTCATCTGCAATAAACTACCAAAAAAGCCAGAAGTGGAGTGGCACAAATAGTAGAGCACCATTGTTAAGCAGAATAGCTCAGGGACAGTACCCAAGCCCCGAATTCAAGCCTCAGGTCTGGCATTAAAAAAGGAAAAAAAATCATATTTTATTGGATATTTTTAGTTGTTCCAATTTCTCACTTTTTATTGTAACTTTGTCATTTTTAAAAATCCTTAAGCACTGTGAAAAGTTCATAGGTGTGTCTTGTAGTTTGAACACAGCTCCATTTCAAACAGTACTTGGTGGGTTTCATTATGCTACCTTCATACATATGTATGTAATATCAAACCTCTTTACTTCCCCACCCACTTCTTCCTATAGTGATGATTGACTCTAGGACCTTGAACACACTAGGCAGTCATTCTACCATGTGGACCAGCCCAACACATCACATCTTTAAAGCGTTCTTAGTCAGGGTATGGTGCCATGTTTCCAGGCACATTGTAGAGGTGACATCACTGCACTGGGTTCTGTTAGGAGGCGTGCTCACATACACACTTTGTCACAGGCAGATAGGGAGGGTGCAAGAGAGATGTGTGTGTATTGGGCTTTCTCTCCTCCTGTTCTAAATTGATATGCATGAGTCTCGATTTTTAACCAGATCTTTGTTCTCTTTCTTCTTGAGGCTGTTTCACACTTCTGCCCACGTACCCAGCTGCACCTAGATAGCTCTTCCTCCCTCCCTCCCCACCCCAACAGCCAGCATCACTGTTCAGCCACA